TTTTGGCCCCCCCCCCCCCCCCTGTGGCTGGCTGATTGATTCGGTATATTCAGAGGAGGCAGCCGCCCCGGTGGCCCCGCCGCCGGCTGTGCCCGTGTACGAGAAGGGTCCGAAGCCGGAGGTGTCTGAGTTCGGGATATCTAAGAAGAACTACAAGGACGACGCGCGTCAGGTGTTGAACCACATGAAGTACGCGACGCTGCAGGTCAAGGGGGACCCCGACATGGAGCTCATCAACGAGGGCCTCAAGAAGGAAATGACCGACTTCTTCTCATATTACAGAAGATTCAAGTCAGACACACAGACAGACAGACAGACAGACAGCGCAGTGAAGTGAAGGAATGCATTGACCAGGGGAGGGTCGCCCCATTGGCTGTATTGTGTGTGTGGTTGGCTCTCGTGTGGTTCAGCGCTGTGAGTGGTCGTACGTCCTTCTCCAACATGTACACGGCCATCAATGTCATGGCCGGTCGGTCCATCAGCCAGCCAGCCAGGGAGGGAGGGATGGGTGGCTGACCCAGAGCTTTGAGTGTGTTGTATTCCATCCATTCCCTCTGTCTGTCATCGGCTGTGCTGTGTTTGGTGCGTGTATGGTATGGATGCAGGTCACTACCAGTCGTACGGCTACAAGGTGCCGCTGCCTGAGAAACGGCGAAAGAGGCTCATGCAGGCACGTCACGCACTTCCACACCCCACACTGACACACACACTCACTCGCTCACTCACAGCCCTTGTTCGTGTCTTTGGCTGACTGCAGGAGTTCGCAATGATCGAGCGTGACCTGAACCGTGGCAGATAGACAGATAGATGGCCAGCTACTCTGCCCCCTCCCTGTCTGTCGTTGTGGGCTGCCCGCCTGTCTTCACTGTGAGTACGTTCACAAAGCAAGTGCCGCGGGCGGTGCCTGCACACAGAGTCACTAAGGCTGCTGTGGTGTGGGGGATGGAGTGGGGGCGTGTGGGGGATGGAGTGGGGGCGCAATGGCAGTTTGCGTGCAATGCTTTGCAGAGGGTGGGGGACTTCATGAAGGCCAGGCAGCGCAGCCAGCGAGAGGGGGGTAATTTTTCCTCACAGAATGAGGAAATGGGTGTGGTGTGGTGTGGTGTGCCAATTACGAGCTAGAGGGCGTTTAAAGCTCCTGCCTGGCTGCTTCAGCCGTCCATTCCATGTATGTGACAGTCTGTCAGTGAAAGAATATCTGTCTGTCTGTCTGTCTGTCGGTCGATTGATCACTGACTCACTCGAAGGACACACATACACACAGTGCTGTGTTGTGTTGTGTTGTGTTATGCTGTGTGACGAACTGAGGACAGACAGTGTTCTCACTCACTCAACCGATATGTGACTGACATCTATACCGAAAACGAGTGAGGTCAGGGTACGGTCGCTGCCCGTCCGTCCCATCGATCATGCCGTGCAACTCTCGCCCTACCCATCCCATCCCATCCATGATACACATGTAAGTATGTATGTGAGAATGGAGACTCACATGGTCATTCATGTCATGACCTCGTGCCTTGGTTCTTCCTGCAGCAGTCGCTCCGTCATGCCCACATCCACACCACACTGAACAAAACAAACACCATCACAACCGAATCAATCAGGCAGTCCCCAGCTGATTGATGCTCACCCCTCCGTGCTTGTCAGCTGACCTCATTTGTTCTGGCATGCTTGGCGGGCGGGGGTGGTGGTGGCGGCACGAGCCGCCGGCCGCCCTGCGACCCACCTGCCCGTGGGGGCTGCGTGGTGATAGAGGGGGTGGACGTACGGATGTCAGCGGTCATCTCAGTGATGGTGCGGGGCGGAGGGGGCCGGGTGAGCTTCGCTGGCTTGTGGACTGACGAGTGACGCGGGACGCTGGGGCAGTCCCTGCTATCGCGCGATGGACACACACAGACAGAGAGACAGACAGGTATCCAAGAGACAGCTAGAGAGACACGACGGATCTTTCCCTGCCTGCCTGCCTGCTTTACCGTGTCCGTCTGTCAAGAAAACGAGGCGACAGCGATCGGACACTGACGGGTCTGTGCAGGCTGCATTTGCATACATATGCCGCACACAATGCAAGACACACGACTCCGGTCGTCAGCTTACATGGCGAATAAGAAGATGGCGAGCGTCGCTCCAATCAAGACTCCGAAGACACACACGACGATCAGATACGGCGGCCCGCCAACAGAGGATGGACACATGCCCTACAGAAACAACCAAGATACCACACAGACGAGTCGCCCGCTGGATGATATCTCCCATAGTCGGTAGGTGGTCCCGTCGCTCCGCTTTGTCTGCGTCGGTGTGTGTTGTGTGCTGACAGCGTGTGTGCCATATTTGAATGGCGGGGGAGCCGACATGGCAAACTCCAAAGGCACCGACGACTCGACAGGCGGACCCAACGCATTTCCTGATACGAAATGAGAGACAGGCGGCCATGAACCAATCTGTGTATTCTGTGGATGGGTGTGCATGTGTTATGTGACGTCGGTGTGTCTGTGTACCTATATCACCTCTGATAAACTTGCCAAGCAGGTCGAGCATTTCGCGGGGCCTGTCGGTGGTGGGTGAGTGGGAGACGCCCGGCATGACGACATAGTGGACCCATGAGGGGTGGCCCGCCACCTCACCCAACACACTCGACTGAGAATACCCAGCTATCACACCTGCAAGACAGACAGACAGCACAGCCAACGGCGCATGTTCTTTGTTGCCATTCCCCTCCGCTCACCTCACCCTGAACTTGCCAGGCGGCCCTTTGGACACTGGCAAGGTGGGGAAACAGCCGCGTGATTGCGAGGTCGGCCCCCTCTACACCATTCACGAGGCTCTCCGTGCCGTGATAGAGCAGCACTCCATGGGACAGCGATGCGGCAAGGGGAGGGAGGAGGGGCAGCAGTGATGACAGGTAGGCCGGCCGAAGAGTGTCGACCGACGTGCGGCACGTCATGTGCGCCGTCGACCATCCCCTGGTCGACACACGGAACGGACAACGTGCCTCATCTGTCCGTCTCTATGTATCTTTTACCGCTTTGTGGCCCCCGTCTCTATGGTGTGCAGTCTGCCGAGTGCCTTCATCATGTCGTGAGAGTAGATAAAGTCCCACATGTCCATGTTGTCACTGTTGGTCCTGGCGTCCACACGCCACTCCCACATGTCACTCCCCCTCCCAGCATCGGTCGGCGCCCGAGACATACGCAGCGGCTGCAGTGCCGTCAGGTTGAATGGCTCCACGGCGAAATCGGTGCCTTTGACGATGTCGGCCAGGATGGCCTGACAGGGGTGGTCATGGGGCATGGGCCGCATAGACGCGGCGAAGGACTCCAGGGTGTTGCGTGGGTCGGTGGTGGTGTGATCGTCGTCAGGGTCTGTCTGCTGGTCTATGGATGAGAAGAAGGGCGCACAATTGCGTGTCCACAGCCACTGGAGATACTGCGAGGCGCGATACGACATCAGACCTGAGACAACAGACAGAGACAACAGGCAGACAGAGACAACAGGCAGACAGGGAGGGAGGGAGGAGGAGCAGAAGAGGATACATCGAGAAGATCGATTCACTCGATCCATGCCGGTGAGTGACGTGACCTCTTGAATGAGCCGTCAGGGCCTGTGCGTACAGCTGGACCGAAGGAATCAGCCATCCATTACCTGCAGGCAAGGCACCAACAGTGAGCCAACAGAGCGACTCTGTCTGTCTGTCTGTCTGTCTGGCTGGCTGGGGCTTTGGTCCTTGTCCAGCCTCTTTGTTCAGCCAGCCCAGCCTCACACACCCAGGATGATGCCGCAGACCTTGGACGCTGGATAGTATATCTTCATGTGAGCGGCGGCAATCACGATCTCGTGACTCGAGGACCCCTCACCAGCAAAGAACAAACAAGCAGGACCGAAGGCAGCCCCGTCCGTCAAGTGCTTCCTCGAGAACGGCACGTAGAACTGGGCGAAAGACCGCCTCACTGATGTGTCCCGGCCGTCCCGAGAGCCGTGTAGTGGTGCCGAGAAGTCGACAAAGAGAAGATGGGCGGCCTTGTGCCAGCTGTGTGTGTTGGACTGCAGCGTAGGCCGTGTGTTGGGCGAGAATGTGAGTTGCAGAGGCCCGAGTGCGTTGAAGGCGGCGTGTAGAGCGCTGGCGCTGCATGACGGACGAGGACCAAACCACACTATGACGGGCGGCGATGTCTCCATAGGACGCTGAGCGAATGAATCGTGGATTCCTATTGAGAAATGCATTCATTCCTACAGTAAGTACCTCGCTTTTGACGAAGAGGTAGAGAACCTCTCTGTCAGCGGCGAGGAAGGAACCTGAAACCCAATCAATGCATCGACCATCCACCAACGCACAGGGCCCTGTGGTGCAAATGGGCTGACCGCTGAATACATCTGGGAGCTCGTCATGGCCCTCCCCAACCACACTCGGAAAACTGCTAACTGAAGTGCGAAGGTCTGCAGCACCTGACGCGCTGGGCCACCTCGTCCTCCTCACCTTTCCGTTCGATGACCTCGCTTGTTGAAGACGCTCTGACGTGTGTGACCACCAACGTTAGCGCCAGAAGCACAGAAAAAACGCCGCCTCCCATTTGGGTGAAATCGTTTACGAATGGCCCGAACGGACCTGCCGCTTTTGGGGACCGGTGATGCATGGCCGGCAAGATGGATGCGTCAGGTGCATACATAAATGCAATCAATGCACAGGCATACTAGCTTCACAGTCCTTACTGTACAGTCCCCAAGACCAACATACGCATTTATCTCTACAGCGTGTGTGTGTTCTACTTCTTCCTCTTTTGTGCCTTGTTTTGTGCCTTGATGCGTGCCTTCATGGCGTCGAGGGCCCCAACCTCCACGAAGTCACGCTTGATGAACTCGGGCAGCAGCTCACGGCTGGTCGTTACACCCATCGCATTGCCCTGCACAGACGCCCGACGCATCGCACAGCACAGTGGGGGGCAGGGCAGGCCACAGGCAGACGACACATACCATACACACATATACGATATGATATGGATCGATCTATCGTATAGAGATGCAATGCATACGTGTATATGTATGTGCCCGTGTGTGTGTGTGGGTGCCACCTTGACAAGCTTGGCTTACGGTTCCGATGAGTGCCGCCACGATCGACTTGAGAGGTCTGCCCACCAAGGGAGGATCCATGCACTTGGCCTGAGGGAGGGAGGGATTCATGTCAAGCACGCGAAGGAGTCACAAGTGCAAACACAACACGCCTGGTCCATTTCGGCCTGTCTGTGTGTGAACGACTCGTGTAAGTACCTACCTTGGCAATGTGGTAGATCTCTTTGAGTGTGATATTGCCCAATATGTCGTGACCAGGGTATGCACTGCCCAGCGGCACCCTCGCCACCTGGTGAGGGAGCGAGGGATACAACAGACAGACATTACACAAGCCCAGCCGTCTGCCTCCCTGCCTGCCTGCATCACCCCCCACTGACCCTTCTGATGAACCAGAATGCGGGTGGGCCTCTCAGCCAGAATTTAAAGGTGCGGTCGGTCAGAGGCAGCAGCTGCACCTGGATGGGCACATCCGGACGAACCTTGGACGTACGAGCGTTGAACTCCTTGCAAAATTGCTTTTGCCAGGCAGACGTCAGGCGCACAACACATGGCTATCCATTCCATGCACTCCATGCCATGTGCCCTTTATGTCCGTGCGGTGTGTACGCACCATCATGTTGATGCCGAGGGGCCCGAGTGCCTGCCCGATGGCCGGCGAGGGCTTGGCTGAACCTGCCAAATGCACACAAGGCAAGTAAGGCACAAAATCGACAGTGCGTGAGGCGCCCACCTGCATTGATGACCAAATTGAACCGGCCTGGCAGATCAGCACACACAGCGCAGAGAGAGAGTAATCGGACTACTGAGGGAAGATCCTTGTGACCGAACGCAGCCTCACCAATCAACGACATCGGCCTAGCTCATCCTATTGCTGTCTTCCCTCATCCTCTTCTCATCCCATCCCTTGAGCGAACAGTTTCACGAAATGCCATGCGAGCTTTCCCCGGAGAGAACCTAAGGGAAAAGAAAAGAACAACCGATGAACGGCACAACGGGAAGCATGTGGTGGGGAGGGTCACCTGCAGCGGCGCATCAGGTCCATACATGAAAGGCAATTAAACACGCTCTGGTCTCTCTGTCCAGTCATGGCATGATTGATGATGCATTCTTTTTGATGGACTCCTCCCTCGTGCCGATGCGCTTCCCGTTAACCCCGTGCCCACACCACACAATTGATGTCATCTGTCTTTCCTTTGTGTATCGATGCATTGCAGGATGGCCACGCCGATAGGTTTTCGTTCATGCAGATGGGCAAGACGTTTGAGGAGGCGCGCAGCAAACCCGGAGAAATACTCACACGTGAGCAGCAGCCACAAATTCCCAAGTACCGCGGCGGCACTTGTGAGGCGTTGTTTCTCTGTGTTGTGTTGGGTGCAGTGGCTACGTGTGAGGGTGCGGTGGGCATGCTGCCCGTCTATGACAAACTGTTCGGGGCGGGGATGATATCCAAAATACTCAAGGTAGGTAAGCCTAGCCTTCTGAGTGTGTGTGTCTGTCTGCCTGTCTGGACTGTCTCGATGTGATCTGTGCCTGTCGTGGGTGGGGTGGCCTCTACCGCCTGACGTGTCGCGTCAGGATGATTTGAGTGGCACGGCCGACAAGGTGCGGCATCGGTTCCTCGAGCAGCCCGCCGTCAACGAGACCATCCGCACCATGGTCGAAGCCGAAATCGCACACAAGTCCGTCGGTCATGCCCTTGAACAAAGCTGAGCTGTCTGCAAATCCATACATACCTTGTATGTGTGCACACAGGGGTCCTGATGCCATTCTAGAGGACAAGAAGAGCGGCACCCGCTCCACTCTGTGGCTGAAGCGTGCGTTGGACTTCGTGTGCACCTTCCTGGAGCTGCTGCTGCTCAAGCCAGACCACTCGAGCAAAAAGTGCGCACAGGAAACCTACACCAGGGTGCTCGAGCCCTACCACGGTATGCACGTGCCGATAGACTGATGGAAGCCCGTCACCGAAGCGACCTAACTGACGGACTGATGCGATCACCGCACCATTGTTTGGCTGCGTTGGTTGTTGGTTGTTTGTGTCATTCCCCCCCTCACATGTGCATGTACACATACAGGGTTTTGGGCCCGCAACATCTGCAGCATGGCTATGGGCCTGGTCCCCTCCCGAGAAGAACTACTCAAGTAAGCCAAGGAACCAAAGAAGGGTTGAAGAAGGATCAGCCCAGCGGTGGCTCATTGCCGGTTGTCTTGTTGGTTCATTTGTGTGTTCAGGCGTTTCGGCTACAGAAGTCTCGAGGAGGCCACCAGAGAAGTCAACGCACTCCTCTGCCAACTCAGGTAGGCAGGCAGACAGGCAGGCATGCAGGACACCCGACTGACATACCCACACGCGCACCGCACATGCCGCGTCCGTGCTTGTGGGTTCCATCACGGCTTGATTGCATTGATTGCACTGTGTGTCCTGCCTGACAGGCCTGTGGTGAATGAGATTGACGGCATTCTGACCCTCCACCTCCCTCCCCATCTGGTCGATGCCGAGAAGAGCCCCTGACTAATTAATGGGGGGATGTCAGCGTGTGTGCGCGGAAAGAACACGTGTGCATGCGAGACAGACAGACCTCTGTGGCCGACTGACTCACTGACTCACTGACTATTGTTTGTCTGTCTGTGCAGACACTGAATGAGCTTTGTACACACATATAAATAAGTAAAATGCCTTCTTTATTCATTTATTCATCGGCCAAGCCAAGTGTGTCTGCATCAAACAGTGAGCTCTCCTCTCCAAGTCACTCACGTCATCCATACCACACGTGACATGCGCAGCACGTGGTGCACCAAACGCGCCATTCGAATAAAGAGCACCACCATCGATTGCTGGAATTCGCCCCACGCAACAACAATCATCATCACTCGGCTTCTTCCAGCCATCTGCACACACACGTGCACCCATGTTCGTCAGTGGCATGCCTGCCTGCCTGGCTGGCTGGCTGGCTGTGTCGGTCACCCACCTGTGCAGTGCTTTCAGAGGGCCATTGGGAGCATAGTACTGCAGTCTCGTGTCGTCGTCACGGCTGATCGGTCGACCGATCGGTGCCCACATGCATACAGAACAAACCACACACAGTCGATGGAGGGAGGGATGTCTGCTCTCCGCCCTTGCAATGAATGCAGTCGATTGATCGGCCTTCCTTCCTTACTATCGTTCCTCGAAGCCCCCGAGCCAGCTGTAGACAACACGACACGACACGCAACGACACAGCCGTCCGTCCGTGTGGCATTGATTGATTGTGGCTGGCTGGGTCATCCATCGATGGTGTGGTGCGCACCTAGCCAGTGTGTCCTCGTCGATGAGTTCCTCCTCCACAAGGGCTCTGAACATCTGTGCCAGCGCACGGGAGCGGTGGAAGACATTCGACAGACACTCCGACCCAGCAGACGGGGATATGGACGATCCAGGATGGTCGTCGGGGGACGTCAGCCGCCGGCTGCCGTAACTGAACGACTCCCTGTATGGGAGGTATTCGCGTGTGCATCGCGTCAACCAACACATAAACAACCACATGAATGAGGTACATAATCACAAGTTAGTTGAGTTGTCTGTGCTGTGGTGTGCACTGCAAAGGAGGCAGCTCAGCTTGCCTTGTGGCTAGGTGCATGATTTGAGTGCAGATCTCAGCCTGAATCGAATCAAGCAACCCAACCAACACACAACCCGCCCCACCCACAGCAGGCAGGCAGTGAGTATGGCCAGCGTCAGGCCGATCGATCCGTCGTCCGTCCTTGCGGACGGCCCGCCCCTACCTGCAGTTTGTGTTGATCCTGTCCCTCGCACAGCCCCTGCAGGAAGTCGCTGATGCTCTGCGACTGCAGCAAACCACACCAGTCCTCCTGACACACAACACAGGCACACATACATACATACAAGCCTACGTGCCATGCCATCCAGCCATCCAGCCATCCATCCTCTTACGAATCCGGGTTCTTGTGGCAGGTGTTGTTCGTGTGCCAGCTGCGACAGCCGCTTGAGGAACTCAGGCACGACGAAACGAACCACATCCACTGGCCTGATGAGGAGGTAGGTAGACGATGCAACCAATCGACTTAGCGGTTGCCGCGCTGGCTGCGGCTGTCTGTGTGGCCTGTGAGATGCGAGTGTGTGCTGACTGACTGACTTGAGTTGGTGTGCGACTCTCTGTGTGTTGATTTGCAGTATGGCCCCCTCGCAGTCGCAGCCACGCAACACCTCACGAACCAACGGACGAACCTGCAGGGGAAAGGGGCACCACACCACACCACACAGCACAGCACAGCACAGCACAACACAACACAGTCCAGCCCAGTGCTCCTGACTGGGTGGGGTGTTTGGAAGCGTACGCTCTTGATCATATCGGTTTCGTCCTTGGTGAATGGTTTGTGTGTGTGGGGGTCAGTGGCGTAGAGGCCGTCGTTGTCGCCCCACTCACGCTCATCATCCTCGTCGTCTTCGGGCACCTCAGACGGACGGTCGAAGTCAAACACACTGCCAGCCCCGGCACACGCCCACACGTTCATCGGGTGAGGGTTGCTGTACTGCTCTGTGCTGTGCTGCGAACCTTTCGTATTTGCTGTCCTCGTCAAATCGATGAGGCGGCAGCTGATTGACGGCACACACATTCAGTCCAGCCAACGATGCTTCATTCTTCCCTGACCCCTCTCACTCGCTCGCTCAGTGCCTCACCTTCATGGTGGCTGCAAGGGGGTCAGTGCCGTTGGCCGTCGAGGGCTGATCCGACACGGGCGACCTGTCGAGCACTGCAGCATACACATAGTGCGTCTGGACCTGATACACATACACACGTGTGCACAGGCTTCCACCCAAACGAGCAGCACCCATTCCCCCCCGCTGGTGTTGGTGTGTGCGTGTGCGCCTACGTCGTCTTTGATGCATTTGCGGATGATGCTTCTGAGGTGTCGGTAGTCGACTTCGTCCTGGAACACATTGATCAGATCGGGGCTGCACACCGCCAGGTGGGCGTCGGCCAGGTCGCACCGAAGCACCACACCACGAGCTCCGATCAGCGCGCCGCCGCCGCCCTTCTCCGTCCCCTAGATAGAGCATTCACACAGAAACGCGGCCGAGCCGAGCGATCGTATCGTGTGCCGTGCAGACAGACAAAGTGGGTGGTTGTGTTGGCTTACGGTAGAGAGTATGACAGGCACGGCGGCGGCTTTGCTGGACTGTATGGGTTCGTCGAGGAGCAGCTGGCCCGTCTGCCTGTCGTAGCCCACCAAGGCCTCGTCCACATCCACTGCATCACAGCCACAGCCACCCCCCCTGACATGACAACACAACAAGCAGCCCAGTCACAGACAGCAAGGTGCACCCACATGCATCCCTCCATCCATCCATCCAGCCGATCCTACCGACCTGAGTTGGTATATTTGGGTGACGAGGACGGGAATGCCGCTGCGGCTGTGGTCCTTGTGGTTGCTGATTGCAGGGCTCAACCGGCCCACCGGTCCAGATGCAGCAGCAGCAGCATCCACACCCACACCGTTGGAGGCCGGCTCCTCATCGCTGCGGACCAGCCCTCTGCACGTCGATAACGCATCCCCGTGGACCTGCATCAAGTCAACACAGCACGGCACGGCACCGCACACGCATTTGCAGAACGAGCCAAATGAAGCAGTGCCTGCCTTGCCACACACCATGTCCTGTACTGTGTGTGTGTTGATTGACTGACCAGCACGAAGTGGTCTCTGATGACGTTGTGGTGGCCGGTCTCCCTCAGGACGTCCCCGAAGTTCTCGCAGTCCTCCGACAGCTGCAGCACCTCCACTGATATTAGCTTGCGCTTCACCTCAGGCACGCCCTTGACAACCGCCGCAAGCCGATCTCTCAAGCCCGCACTCTTGATGGGGAAGTAGACCTCCTTGGCCTCATTCTCTATCAGGAATCTGAGCAGAGGGCGAAGATCAGCCTCCGACAGGTGCATCGACTCATCTCGCTGGTCTGTTCTGCCTTTAAAATCTCGCTCCACGACAACCAGCGCCTGCAGTGCAGCTCGCGTGTCATCTGCCGCTGCCGCATCCTTGCTGGTTGGTTGGTTATTGTGTTTAACGCTCGCAGCCATGGAGAAAAGGGCGCGGGTCTAGGGTCTAGGGTTTAGTCTAAACCCTAGACCCTGACCCTAGACCCTAAGCCCCTCAAACCCTACACCCCAGAAAACCCTTAACCCTAAACCCCAAGCAGCCGAAGAAGCAAGGGAATCCCATACCACGCAATGCTGATCAATTGATGCTGATCTGTATGGATGTGAAGCAAGGTCGATGGATGCATTCCATGCCGCCTTGCCTTGTGTGATCGTGTGCTTCTTCTGCTCTCCATCAGGGCTCGTCGATCTGCGATGATTGAAGAGGACGTGAGGAAGACGGCCAACACGTGGTCTGGAAGTAAGCAAACGGCAGTTTGGTCACGTCATGCACACCGATCGGTGCCATGTCTGTCAGACTTGAAGATCACGGTCACGTATGCGCTCTCCCAGCTTGGCCGAAACCTGCGCCCATGCCGCATCGGTGTTGCCACAGTAAGCTATCTATCGTGCGTGCATCTTTCCATTCGATGGCTGATGCGTGGGGCCATCCCTGTTCTCTGCCTTTCTCCTTCCCTTCAGGTGTTTCTCGTGGTGTTTTTCACCGCCTTGCTGCAGAATGCAATCCAGCTATCCCCCATCATATTCCTCAAGGTGCGACCACAACACAGGAGACCCAGAGAGGCTGGCTGACAAGGAACGACGAGCACCTCGCGCCCGTGTCTACTTGTCTGTCTGTCCATCCTTTTGTTTCCTTCTTTCACCGCATGCATGTCATGTATGTGTGCAGCTGGCGGAGAACGACCTTGGCGAGACGGATCTGTTGTACACGCCACTGCAGTCCAAGACAGTCGCCCCCGTGCCGCCCCACCCTCCCGCACCGGGAGGGGGAGGGGGGGTGGGGCCGTCGCCACCCATGCTCACCTGGGGGCAGGCTGGCAATGGCACCGACGAGATGTCCATCCAGTTTGTCGACGTCTCTTATCTGGCCAGCGAGCTCAGGAGAAAGCACGAAAAGGCCGTCCGGGGAGTCGTGCCAAGGTAAGGTGTGTAGGTCACCTGGGTGGATCGATCAACCAACACAAATCGAAACAAATGACCTGCTTGATGTGCACGTATGTCTGAGTGCCCAGGTGGGTGTTGCAGGGCCGCGTCGTGAATGCCCGATTTCCGTCGCGGCTGAACACGACAGCTGTGCTGCTCATAGCCGACACAGCCTCAGAGGACAGCGTGGCTTTTGGCAGGTCTTTCCAATCAAGACCACTGGCACAAGGAGAATGCTACGCCTCAGGTAGGTGACATAGCGACAAACATGCAAGAACAGAGCTCGCCACATCCACTGTATGTATGCGTCGCTGTTCCACCCGACTAGGTTCCGTTCTGCGCGCAATGGGTCTCCAGCCTGACAGGGGCGAGAGGTTGCGCATCGAGCTGGACCTCATTCGCGCATCGTCGGCCCTGAGCTCTTCAGGCATCTCCTCTCCTATGTCGGACCCCACCAATGAAACAACCGCCAACGACCTGACGACCAACGACGCAGAGGCCATCCTGAGGGCTCTTGGTGTCAACATGACGGACTCTGTCGTCATCGATGTCCCCAACGCCACGCTGACGATCCTGCAGGGACTCAGGCAGCAGGGGCTGCCGATCAACGGCACAGTGCCCCTTACCATCGGCAATGGCACCGTAGTCAATGTCAACGTGACGGAAGTGCTGATTGGGACGGCCGAGTCAGTGGGCAAAGTCCCAGTGCCTGTTGATGCTATACTCAACGCGACACTGCCGCTCCTCAGGCAGGCGCTGACCATCGAAGCCGATTTTGTGCCGAGTGAGTGAGTGTGTGCGAAGGATAGACAGGAGAGCACAGATGAGTGTAGGTGGGTCGGTTCTTCAGTTGTGGGTACTGATGCGCCCGAGGGCAAGTGGCCGAGTGCTTTGGGCAACACCCTGATGATTGACGCCAAGTATGTTTTGGCGGAGATTATCACATCCTTCAAGCAGGCCTTCGAGGACATCCAGGCCAGCATACTCAACAACCCTCTCGAGATCACCTTCGATCCCACGCCATTCCTTACAGAGGCCTTGAAAGGTCAGGACGGGACGGACGGACGCACCTATCTATCGGTGCACGAATGAGTTCTCGGTCCACGTACCGTACGTCGTATGTATGGTATGGTCCTCGTCTGTCTGTTGTGCTGTGTGTCCCTGTAGTTGATCTAGATCGCTACGCGCTAACCGGCAACGTCCTGTTGGAGGATCGCATCCCTCTCTACATGCAGGTCAGTCTGTTGACCATGACACGAGCAGGGCCCGGGGCCCCCTCCTCATTCTGCTCAAACCCCGCCGCCCGCAATGTGTGTGTGCAGGAGCCCCGACAGCAGGCTTTTGACATCACAGTGGCGACTGACAGAGTGGCTGAGTGAGCATGAAATGCGAAGAAGAGAGTGAGAGTTGGTTGCCCTTGTCTGGTTGGCAGGTCAATTGGCATCGACTACCCCATCAGCGTGACGGCGCCGCTCCAGTCGGTATGGCTGATCTCATGTTCACGCTATGCACTAATGTGCTGTTCGTTTTGTGTCCGGGCTCTTCTTCAGCTGTTGGTTGCTTCTCAGTTTGTCCGATTGTTTCTCGACAATTTGTTTGCGGCCGTGGTGTTCGTGCTGGTGCTGCTGTCCATAGTGCTGGTGTACAGTCTGATGCTCAACGACGTGGAGGACAAGACCTATGAATTCGGAATGCTGCGAGCACTCGGTGGGTACAACACAACACAACACAACACAACCACACACATACACCACACCGTCGACGGCATGGCATGGCATGAGTGCATGGCATGGATCAATTAGGTATGCGGAAGCAGACGCTGATATCGATGCTTTTGTTTCAAGCGATGCTGTTCGCAATCCCTGGGCTGTCGATGGGCTTGCTGGTCGCCTGGCTCGGCGGATTGATCGTGACGTACTTCATAGCCGACTTCAGCTATGCGGTCTTCTCGTACGAGCTGCACCTGTCTGCCATCCTACTGGGCTCCTCCCTTGGACTCATCATGCCGGTGATAGCCAACATAGTGCCCATACGGAGGGCGCTGTCAAAGACCCTCAGAGACGCCCTCGACATTTACCACGTGAGAGGAGGGATGCAGCTAGCTAGGCTCCTTGCTGTTTTCTGTGTGTGTACGCACACGATCGGCGAGTGCGTGTCGTGTCGTGTTGGTTGACTGATTGGCTGCAGGCGGTTGTGAGTGAGATAGAGGTGACGATCATCAAGCTTCACCGGCTGGGCTTGTCGCCGCTGCAACTGCTGGCCTCGTCCATTCTCGTCATAGGTAAACAGACAGATGAGACGAGGCAGCGCTATCTCGCACCAAGTCGATCAGCGGAGTGTCACTCATTTCTCTCGTTGCTTGCTGTGCTCTGTGTGTGTCAACTGCAGCGGGTTTCATCACATACTACCTGATCCCTCTCTCGTTCGTCATGCGCTCTTTCGTCTTCTTTTTCTCCATGTCAGCGATCGATGTTGACGTGACGTGTCATCCATCGATGGGCTGGCTGGCTGGGGTGTGTGGGTGGGTACATTGTGTGTGTGTTGTTTGCAGCCTGAACATCATTCTGATGGGGATGATGCTGGGTCTAGTGATGGTGGCCCAGGTGTTCCAGCCGCTGCTGCAGCAGGCCTTCTGCTGGCTCATCGTGGTCCCGTTCCGAGCGGACGCGTCTCTTTATGTCCTGGTGGTCAAGAACTTACAGGGCCATGGCAAGAGGAATGCCAAGACGGGACTCATGTTCACTGTCGCCCTTACCTTCCTCGTCTTTGCCGGCGCCATATTCGCACTCCAGGGTAGGTAATGAGTGATTATACACGCATTGCATCGCATCGCATCGCACTGCACTGCACTCACAGGACTGGCAGCACATCCATTCCATTCATTGATTCCTTTTCTATCTATCCATGAATGTCTGTATCTCATAAACCTACCAATCAGGCAACAACCTGGCTGCGAACGTGAAGCAGGCGACCGGTGCCGACGTGGTGGTGCGCGCCTCCCTCTGGGAGCGTCCGCTGTATGAGGAGAAGCTGTCATCCTTCCTGCAGGGCGAGATGGGCAAACCCAAGTTCGAGGGCAGCGCCGATGAGAGGGCGCAAGTGGACTTTGCCAATGTGGCCAACGCGAGCGACACTGCGAGGGAAAGCGGCCCGGTGTATCGCGTCGTGGAGGGGTTCTCATTCATCACCTTCAACCTGCAGCTTACACCCCTTGTCTTCGATGTCCAGCTCTCCAACGATGCCTTGTTTCCCTCAGGGTGCGTGGGTGGGTGGGCCAGGCCACAAGAGAAGGCTGGAAGCCTTATCGAGGGAGGGAACGGCAGGAGGGAGGGAGTGTGTGACGTCTTTTGTGCGTGATTGTCGTCAGGCCCGTCAATCTTCGCGGGATTCAGAGCAATTTCTTTGACGTCATCTTCCAAGAGTACTTTCGACCCTCACAATTCCAAAAGGGTACGGACGGAATGCGCAGACGGATGTCACCAATCAGCTGGGTCAATGTTTTTCTGTCTGTCGTCTGACTGTCTGTCTGTCTGTGTAAATATACACAGGCTTGGATCTGGCGACGGATGATCTGGTTCCCTCTCTGTTCGCCACCTACTCTGTTGATCCCCCTGTGGGGCCCACCGAACAGCTGCCCGATAACAGAACAGCCAGAATGAGGGACGCAAAGTAAGCAGGGAGACAGGACACATTCCTGCAGTGCACTCACTGCACAGCGAGGTGTGAGTGACTGAGGGAGTATGCATCCATCGCATCCGTGTGTTTTGTAGGGGCATCTTGTCCGGCTTCACGACGGCCGGTCGGAATGCGTCGGATGAAGTCATCCAGGAAACAACCAACAAGACGAGGAAGGTACGTACGGAAGACAGACAAAGACCGCCCTGACGCAAACTGTACCTACCTACCGGCGTATGTATGTATGTATCCGTTACATTCAGGCTGATCTGTCGAGCAGCAGTCTGCAGCCATTGAAGCTGCTGTTGCCTGAGGGCCTGCGCGACCCATGGTCGGTGAAGGCAGGCAAGCAGCTCACTCTCAGGGTCAAACTCGACGGTAAGTCTAAATGAGATTGCTACCTGCGAGCAAGGGACGGACAGACAGACAGGAATGGACAGATCATAACTCTATCCTGCCTGTCTGTCTGTGTGCAGGCACGAATGGAGAGTCGCTGTATTACAGCACTGTCGTTCGTGCGATGGTCCGGAAGATCCCTGGGACCATGTTCTCGAGCTTCTCCTTCATACAGGGATACCCTGACGCATACACCACAGAAGACGCCATGCGTACCCTACCCTACACGCATGATAGACAAATGACATGCAACCCGCCCTCTTGCTTGCATCCGTATCATTTCCTCCCTCCCCTTCAGTGTCCCTGTGGGACGATACTCAGCGTGTGTCTGGCCTGGTGCGTAATTCTGATCCCGCCATCGCATCCATGAGCGACTCCGACCCCTCACGCGGTAAATGAGGCAGGCCAACATTTGGCACGGCACGGCACGGCACGGCAGCTCACAGCCAGACGAGTGTCCAACTGACTGCCCGCCCTTGTCTTCTGCGATAAATGCAGCCTATGCGGGTTTCTCTGTGAGCGAGGGGTCGTCGCTGGCTGGGAGCCAGAACAGCACAGACACGGAGGCGCCTCGTCCCACGGCAGGTCCCCCTCCCCCGTCGCCCGACGTACCGGTGAGCATTGGTGGTGACAGCGACGATACCGAGCCAGATGGGGGGCCCGGCGGGCAGCAGGAGGGGGCCAACATCGGCAGCCCGGTGGCAAACGTGCGGGCCGCCACACAAAGAGGGCTCGGTAAGTGGGAGAGGTGGGAGGGAGGGAGGGAGGGAGGGAGGGAAGCAGACAGGGACGGACGACAACGAATGCTCATGGGATGAGGAGGTAGCAGAGGTCTGAGTGCATTGCATGGTGCAATGCAATTGTGTGTCTGCCTGCGTGTATGGTATGGTATGATTCGATTGCATGCCGTGCATTCAGGTAAGGCGTCCTTATACGTGAGGTTGGTGCCAAATGCAACCATCGACGAGAGGGACTTCATCACAAACACCATACGGTCGGTCGGGCGAAATGAAATCGATTAACTGACTGACTGACGTGTGGTTTTCTTTCCATTGCATCGCATACACATGGCTGGCGTTGCGGCTGCCTCCTGCCTGCACTGCAGGTCGATAATGGACGACACGCACGCCATCATCGATGTGAGGACGCTGACAGAGACCACACAGACGGCGGCCGATCTGCTGCAGGTGAGGTGCGCACGGCACGCGGCATAGCAACCAACGTGTAAGACAGACAGACAAATGTGTGTGGCTGTTTTCGGCAGGTGTTCTTTGCCGTGTGTGCGATCATCGCCTTCGTTTTGGCCTTCTTCCTGTTGTGGACGTCCTCGAGCGCCAATGTCCGAGAGGTACGCATTGCAAGCTGACCGAATCGATCGACGAAGGTTACTGACGCATTCATTCTGCACGCGGCCGTTCGTCTGTCTGTCTGTCTGTCTGTGTGTTCATGCACCGCACCTCGGTTCGTTCATTAATCAATCGTCCCATGCACCAGAATATGTGGGAGATCGGGGTACGTGACATGCACCAAAAGATGTGAGGGCACGGCGAACAAAATGTGGACTGTGGTTCTTTCTGCCTGCGGTCAATTCATGCAGGTCCTCAGGGCGTGTGGGCTCTCAAAATGGCAGGTGAGTGAGGTATGTATATCACTCACTCACAACCAAGTGCAGGCCAGGAAGCACTCACAGAGAGGAGGCAAATGCACACGTCGACCTGTGCTGTGTTATGTCCATCGATGGGTACGATGCGATGCGATGCGATGGTGCGACGGGTGCACTGCAGGTGGTGCGTGTGGGTGTGTACGAGTCGCTGTCTCTGACACTGTCGTCCATCCTCCTCGGCACCGTACTCGGCGGCGTTGTCGCCATCACACTCACTGTACAGTTCAACCTCTTCTCGGTCGGTGAAGAAAGAGGGAAAGAACCAAACAGACAAGCGAGGGAGGGACCATCAACAGTGATTGATTACCCGTGTGTCGTTGTCGGTTTGTGTGTCAGGAGCTGCCGTTTGTATTTCTGTTTCCCTTTACGCTGTATGGGTTTATGGTGTTCCTGGCGCTGGTGACAGCTGTGGTTGGGCCATGGGTGCCCACTATGGATGTGGCACAGGCACCTGTCGCCCTCATACTCAAGGGGGCCGACTGGTGCAGCTAGCTGACGTACCTACTGACCGGACCACCAGCTGGGTGTTCAGAAGGGGTTTGATGACAGTCGGGTGGCAGTCTCTGTTGAGCGGGAGTGTACTGGCAGGGTATTCTATAGCTTTGTTGTTTATTTGGTAGTGGGGATTTCGGTGGGACCTGTTTGTTGTGTGCAGAATTATGACTGATTGGATCACGAACCGGAATGGTACACACAACACGGACACGAGTTGGTTGCCGTCTCACTTGGCCAATGAATGCCATGCCAACAAGTGACAGCCTCACCTCACCTCACTCAGCAGCGCATCGCACCCGCCATCATGTGTGGTGGCTCGAGACGGATGTATGGACACAGAAATATTGATATGAATGTCTCGTGTGTGTGCATTTGGACACCCGAGTCACGGCATTCTCTCATCCGGCCATGAATGTACGTTGTGTGTATCTGTACGAATGTCGTGGCGACCAACAAGATGCGATCGGTAGCGCACTGGTGCAAACCGTGCAGGCGAAAGTCAGCGCTGCACAGGCTGGGCTGGGCTGTCGATCTATCTATCCACCAGGCTGTGTATTCATTCAACCGCGTCACGTCGCGTCACTGGCTGACTGGCTGGCTGCATGGCTGCTACGAATTCGGGTCTTCTGCTTCATCCGGTACGAATGGTGGGCGGCACACGGTGGGCAGACACCCCACTCACGCGCCCACTCACCCACCGCCATCAACCAGTCGACCAGTCAGGGGGGGACCGCAGCAGACGGGAGCATCGCCTGATGGTGGATCAGAGGGGGGACGGACGGACGGACAGCAGCCACACGTGCGGCAGGTGACGAGGTGTCGGCATGAGGGTGCGTGTGTCTATACCATCATACTGTCGACACAATCAGCCGTCTCGCCGACGGTTATCAAGAACTCTGAGCCAAGCAGACAGACACACAGATAGAAAGCCGGACAATTTGATCCGTGTGTGTGTGTGTGTGGCACGCCTGTCTGTAAGCCCTTCTGACTGACTGACTGACCGTATATTTTCTCAGTTCTCTTGGCGGCATCCTTGAGGTACTCCTGGCAGAGAGCCCTCAGCTGCTCCCAGAAGTGACGATACTCCTCCAGACGCTGCTCAAACCGCTGGCGAAACCTGCAGGAATGAGTACATGGCCACACAGACACAGACACAGACACAGACAAGACGAGACAAACATTCATGAGTTGGTCGATGAATAGATCTGTGTATCTCTGCTAGCTGCCTGCCTGCCTGCCTGCTGGGTACCTGGGATGCGTTGCACCGTAAGAAATCAGACGCTCGGTGCGATCCTAACCGACGCACAGCAATGGATGGATGGGTGGTTGGTGTGCTTCTATCTACCCACCCTCCCTCCCTCCGACCTCCCTTGCTTGCTTACTGACTGACCTTCATCTGCGAGAGACGCTCAATGGTGGAGTCCATGCTGCATGGCATGCACCCGTGTATGTATCAGTCATTTGCACCACAGAGGGAGGTATAAGCCATCCTTTGTCCTCTCTTACCTCGCCCAGAAGCCCTGCAAACAATATCGATGGACACAAAAGAAAAGTGACGGAATCGTGTGCATGCAGATGCTGCACACACCGTGCTGTCAGTCATGCAGGCTCCCTCATCCGCTCACCGCGCATCTGCTGAGGATCTGATCGATCTTCCGCAATTCGTTGAGAGCTGTAGGCACACAGACAGACAGACAGACGGAAGGAAAGACAGCGAGTTCTGTCGGTGACACTTCTGCCTGGGAGGGAGGGAGGGTTGTTTGTCTTACCTTTGATGAGAAGAGCCGACTGGTGGGTCGCCTGGTTGTCCAAAACTGACGAACGATATAACAAGAAGAATGAGGATGTCGGTCTGTGTGCCTCTTGAAATCGGTCGGTCGGGAGTGGCGTGCATTGCATTAAGTGACATCTATCTATCTGCTCATAAGGCAACGCACCAGTGACGGCAGAGAGTGCGAGTGTGTGAGACAGCGGGGCCGCACCACCGTCGCCCCGCACACCTGCACGCACCGACAGAGAAATACGTAGGAGGGAGGGACGCAGACAGACAGCTTCAGCGAGTGCACTGCACTGCCGTCCGCACGTGTGCACTACGGACCTCGTTTGCCCGAGTAGGGTATTTCCTCAATGTTGTCTCTGCTGCTGGCGGCCCCGTCAGCCTCCACGGCAGATGTGTCTTGGTCTGTCTGCTTTGGGGTTCCCTTGCGCTGACTCTTGCCTTCCTCCTCGGTGGACTTGCCAGAACTCAGCGAATCGATACGATCACTCGGCTTCAGAACCTGGCACGTCACACACACGGACACACACACCACAGCAAGTTGCAAACACCATATATCAATCAGTCACCCATACTGACCCGGTCCCCATTCATTGGCGCGCAAGTGAATGGATGGATGGATGGATGGCCTCTCCTCCCTCCCTCCCTCCCTCCCTCCCTTTGTTGCTCGCTTTCTTCCTGTCCTGTCCCCCACCCCACGCACGTTTGCCCACCTGATTGCGATCTGCCCCGTTTCCATCGGTCCCAGCAGCAGCTGCTGCACTCCCAGCAGCAGCTGCGGCACTCCCCGCCTGTGCAGCGGGCGCTTCGCCAGCCGTGAGTGCCTGCGGCCCCATATTCCACTTCTTGGTGATGGGGTTGATTTTGAAGATGCCAGGGGTCATGAAGAGCAGCTCCATCAACTCATCGGTGATCTGCTCCCGGTCATGGAGCGCCCCTGCAGGCCCCTGGCGGGTCCACTCCCGCTTGGCTGTGGCCTCGGGGCGACCCTCCTTGTCGTCATCCCTCATGGCCGTCGACAGCTGGTCCAGCAGACGATTCCGCACCGCGTCGAAGTTGAGACTCGCCACGGCAGCAAAGGGCGGGTGGCCTGCCGCACCACGATGGACGCGACCCGCCTCGTCAGGGCTATGCTGCTGTGCACCATACAGAGGGGAAATGGGTGACGAAAGACAGCCCAGAGAGGCGTCTACGCCTTGCTAAGCGACCTACTTACGTGCGTACGTACCTGTGGAGTAGGTGCGGTGTGTGCTCCGGGCCCCTTGCTCTCGTCTGACTCGGGCAGCGACACTTGTGGCTGCAGCACAGGGCTCGTCACGTCCTCAATTATCGGCGCATCCATGTCGCCATCGTCGTCGCCACCAGCACCACCACCACCAGCAGCAGCAGGGCCACCCTGGGGTGCCTTCTCCCCCGCCTTGTGCTGGTTTGCTGCCGATGTGTGGACGTCCTCGTCGCTGGGCGGCTTGGTGAGCTGCAGCCTGACACGGTCGCTGCCGATGGCATGCTGCGGCGGCCGCATGTGCTGCTGGCGCATTATCTGCAGTTGGAAGTCCTCGTAGTTCTGCTGAAACTGACGGTCGCGGGCCCGCTTGGCCTCCCTCGCACTCTCTATCAAATCGTTGATGTCACTACACACACACACACACACACATTGAGGCAGGCAGGCAGGTGTGTCCCTCCCGTTCACCCGTGTCGATGGCCTCTCTTGCTGTGTTGTGGTATGGGTGAGTGCCTGACTGACTGACCGTATCATTGCGGTGTAGTCGGTCTGTATCTGCATCGACTCATCCTTCATCTTGAGAACCCAGCCGCGGACCAACTGCACACACACCCGCAGCCGAAGAACAGGGCAGGAGAACATACACACACACACACACATCCTCATTGATGACCATACGTACGCATCTGCGTTGCGTACGTACGTCCATGAGGTCCATTCCCAGTTTGGGTGCGTTCTCCTCGACCGCCAGCTGCAAGTCAGGCAGCACCTCCAGCACTGACTCACACGTACCCGAAAACTACACACACACACACACACACACACAGAGCAAACAGCCATGTATCCATCCATCCATCCACCTGTGTGTGTGGTGAGGTGTTGGTGTGCTTACGCCTTTGATGACCCGTGTCGACCGGAAGTGCCGCTCTCGACACTCAAGTGCACACGTCCGGATTTTCCTACACCACACACACAGCCGACAGATGCACAGACCGACGCCAACCTTGATGCGCTTGGTCTGCCCTTCCTCTCAGGACTGGCCTGCCTGCCTGCGTACGTTACCTTGCGATTCTGCTGTCGTTTCTGAACGCCAGCCAGGCCATCTCAAAGCGCGACGCTATCGACACCTGCAGCTCAAACAGCTCGCGAAGACTAAAAATCTGCACACACACACATCCAGGGAGGGACCAGGGAACAGTGAATGAGTGAGTGAGCGTGGGTCTTGATCTGTGTGCCGTTGTTGTGCGGCTTACAGCTTCGGCCGCAGCAGCCCCCTCTGTAAGTGTGAAAGCCGTCGTCTTGTCGGTCTTGGCGTGGCGCGATGATGCCTGTGAGTCGGCCGCGGCGGCCGCAGGTGCCGCAGGCGGGGGCTGCTGGGGGGGAGGGGCACCAGAGGTGCCAGCGGCCCCGCCGGACGACACGTCAGCTGCATACATACATACCGTATGTCCACATTAAATTCACTCATTTTTTCATGTGTCCCTCTCTTTCCTCTCTGTGCATGGCATGGCATGTACGGTACGTGTGCTATGCTGTGCTGTGGTGCTGGCTGGCTGGCTGCATACCCATGTCAGCGGTTTCGCCGTCTGGCTGGTAGTGCTGCCCGTGGTGGCCATTACCCTGCCCCTCACACTGGTCTGCCGGCCTCATGGCAGCACCATCTATGCCATGTGGTGGGGCGCCCCCTGTGGTGTGGTCTGCGTGGTCCCCCTCGGCGTCCATGGAGGTGCCCGCCAGAATCGACGAGTAGGGCTGCATGGGCGCCGGATGCATCTCCTGACTCGCAAGCGGATGCATCGCGGGAAGCGCTGGGCACATTGATTGCGATTGCATGGCCGGGCACACAACACACACACACACACACACGCATTGCTGGCTGGGTGTTTGAGTGCCTTTTGTCCCTTTGTTTGTTGTTTGTTGCCGTGTTACGTGGGACGTTTTGTGAGAAAGGTTGCTGCATCCATGGGTGGCTGAAGGCCTGCTCGAGCGTCACACGACGCGACACATTGACCGTCATGAGGCCTCTGACACAACAAGACAGACAGCAATTCACACAGAAACAGATAGCCATTCAACGATTGATTGATGTGTGTGTGGCTCGTCTTCCTTTGTTGGGTGCATTGTGTCGTCTTGTGTTGTGTTGTGTTGGTTGGTGACCTGATGAGGTCGAGTGCCATCCTGGAGACTTTTTGGAATGCTGCGTATCTGAAGTGGTAGTCGCCCTCTCGAATCTGCTTCTCCACCGGCCCTCGACGCGTGTCAAAGGGATATGTGCCGCCAAGCATCACGTACAACAACACACCCAGCGACCTACACACATTGCAATGCATTCAATGCACACAACACACACATCAATACATAGACGCGCGTCTCGTCACTCCGTCCGTCCGTCCGTCCGTCCACGAGTACGTACCATAGGTCAGCAGCGGGCCCATAGGCGGATCCCGTGTTGGCGGCCTCGATGACCTCCGGCGCCCAGTACTGCGGCGTGCCGACGAAGGTCTTGGCCGCACTGTAGCCGCTCTGCACCAGCTTGGCCAGACCAAAGTCAGCCACCTTGATGCGGTAGTAGCTCCCATCCAAGATCTCCGCTATCAAGATGTTCTCCTACACAGACAGGCCAAGCCAAGTGCATGCCATCCCATCCCATCCACACACCACACCACACCACACCCACCCTCCCTCCAAGCCATTAGGTATGTACGTACGTACGTACCGGTTTGAGGTCCCTGTGAATGACTCCCTGTGAGTGCATGTACTTGACGGCCTCGAGCACCTGCCGGAAGACGTACTTGGCCTCGTCCTCTGTGAGCGCCTTGCGCTCCACTATGCGGTAGAACAGCTCTCCGCAGCGCACCAGCTCCATCACCAGAAACAGCTCATTCTCCGTCTCGATGACCTCTATCAGGTTGACCACACACGTGTGGTGCATCCGACGCAGGATCGCCACCTCGCGCCGCAGCTTGGTCCTCTCGCGCTTGACATCGTGCCGAAGACGCAACGAACGAAGGTCGATGATCTTGGCCGCATAAATCTCACCGCTACTCAACGCCTTGCACCGAAACACATAACTGACGGATATCGAGCAGTCAAACAACACACGTGAGTGACACACAAGGCCGTCAGTGCGTTGACTGAGTGGATGGACTTACGAGCTGGCGCCGGAGCCAATCTGATCCAACAGCCTGCCGACAGACAGAACAGTCACACACACACACACGCACACACGTGTGCAGGCAGCGGCGTGTTCGGTTCCTAGCTGTCACGGACACGTGGCAGCTCCCGCCCCTCCCTTACTCATACGAGCCTGCACAATCCAACGCACACACAGGCGCAAGATGAGATGTGTGAAAGGAGAGGCTTCCGTTTTTGAAGTAACTCACCGAAGCGACGGCCTGTGGCTATCACCGGTGGCTGCGTTCCGTCCATTGCTTGCAGCTGTCCGCGCCTCTTCCTTTTGCGAGCTCCAGCTCGCGAACAGGGGTCCGTCAGCTCTCCGCCTTCCCACGCGACTTACGGCAGCCCATTGTGTGTATATTGGCCGTCTGTCTGTCCTCATCTCGTAGATCTGCAAAGGCGAATCATGTGGGCGTTGCTGTCATCTGTGGCTCTGCTGCTGGTGGTGAGGAGTGGCCATGCCCTCACCGGCCGAACAGCCTTCGCCCCAGCGGCCCCTCTGACGCCCCGTGGTGGCACCTCTGCCTCTGTTGTGCGGAGGGCGCATGTGAGGCGTGGTGTTCGTATGGAGGGCGAGACGCTGGACCAGTGGATGACGGCCCAGAACATCTCACCCAGCCTGCAGTCGACCCTCACAGCCCTCTTTGCCGCCTGTAAGGAGATCGGCTACAAGGTGCGCACCGCCAGCTGCAACAAGATCTCGTGCTTCAACCAGTTCGGAGACGAACAGGTGGGTAGGGTAAACGGGGCACAGACACATCAATTGTATGGCAGGCAAACAGACAGAGGGCAGAAGAGTGAGTGGGCGAGGTTCTCTGTCAAGTCCGTCCATCCATCCAGATATCTCGGTGCCTTCCTGTGTGTCGATTGCATTCAGTTGGCTGTCGACGTGCTGGCCAACAAGATCCTGTTTGATCAGTTCGAAGCTTGCGACAATATCGCAACGGCTTCGTCAGGTGACAAAGGAAACGGGCAGAGAGGCAGGCAGCCCTGATGCACTGCACTCCAGCCAGCCCCACACTGCACTCTGCAAAGCAGAGCAGGCAAGTCAGCCACTCATGTGTCCCTCCCTCCCTGCCTCTTCCCTATGTGTGTCAGAGGAGGAGCCGATTGAGAAGGACGTCGGTGGTCGTGCCGATGATGTGTATTCGGTGGCCTTTGACCCGCTGGATGGATCGTCCATCGTCGACACTAACTTCGCCGTCGGCACTATCTTTGGAGTCTGGCCGGGCACCAAGGTCAGAGAGGGACGGAGGGAGGCAGGCAAGCGAATTGTGCCTGCCACCCACGACAAGTCGCGTGTTGCGTGTTTTGTGTGTGTGCAGCTGACGGGCATCAAGGGTTCTGAGATGGTAGCCGGTGGTCTGTGCACATACGGCCCGCGTACGTCCATGTCGATTGCCATTGATGGTGTGGAGGGCGCACATGAGTTCCTCCTCGTGGACGACTACACGGGACTGCATGGCTCTTGGGTCCACGCCGCTACATTCACAGCCATCGACAGCGGCAAACTCTTCGCACCGGGCAACCTCAGGGCCACACAGGTAGGTACGTAGGTATACGCTCACTGACTGACTGACACAGTGGGAAGGGAGGACACATTCACACGCACCACAACACAACCACACAGGCAGACGGACGTCTGTCTCGTTTGTCTCATCGATGACATACATACATACTGAATCAGGACAATCCGGGCTACAATGAGCTGTTCAACTACTGGCTCGGAAACAAGTACCAGCTCAGGTGAGCCCAGGGCCCACTACTGTCCTTCCCTCCCTGCCTGCCTGCCTGCCTTTGTATATCGATGCGATGCATCAATCTATGTATGTATGTATGTATCCTTCTTGGCTTGGGCGGCCTTCACTTCAGGTACACTGGCGGCATGGTGCCGGACGTGAATCAGCTGCTGATCAAGGGCAAGGGTGTGTACGTGACCCCGTCCTCCCCCAGCTGCCCCTCTAAACTCAGACTCCTCTACGAAGTCGCACCATTGGGGTGGGTATGCCTCCACGCAGACACGGAACCTTGGATGCGATGTGTGTGGGAGAGAAGCAAGGGATGTCTGTCTGTCTGTCTGCCTGGCTGTGTGTGTGCAGATACCTGATAGAGAAGGGCGGCGGCATGTCGTCCGACGGCGAGAAGTCTGTGCTGGAGATCCCCATCACGACCACTGACGTGCGCACACAGTGTGCGTACGGCAGCGAAGAGGAGGTCGAGAGGTTCAACACACTCGTCGGCACCAAATACGCCGCGGCACTCACACCCGCCGCTTGATCGATCCGATCCATTCACTCGACCACGGACGGTGTATCCTATCGTGTGTGGTGGATGTATGTATGCTGTATGATGGATGGATGGATGGATGGCAGGCAGGCAGGCAGGCAGGCAGGCAGGAGACCCTGAGTGTTTGCGCGAGGTGTCAAATGCAATCAGTCAGCCAGTCAGTAAGGAGTGAGTCACCAGGCGGTGCTGACTGCAATGATTGCATCGGATTGCATCGGTCTTGGTGTGTGTGGTGTGGGGTCCGGCAGACATCCATCGATCGTTCAACTGGACTCCTCCATGCCTGACGTGAAGTGACCATTTTTTCCTTGCCGTGATGTGACTGATGCGTGTACATGTATGTATGTATGTATGTATGTATGTGTGTGTGTCTCGGAAGAACCATGTATGCATGACCCTTTTGAGTGTCGATGCAGACTGATGTTTTGACCCATCGTGGGCTGTCTGTCGGTGAAAGGAGAGGACACTGATGAGCACCAATGGTCCTTTGCGAGACTCCACAACAGACAGCAGGGAGATACACTCATGGATCCGAGAGAGCGAGGGATGATGGGTTGTCTCCCCTGCAGCAAGGAAGCAAAGCACTCCCTTCGCCATCCCACACGAGAGGATCTGCACACAAACGGAACCGGATGCATTCATTGTCTACATGTCTGCATGTTTGATGTAGCCTAAAGACAAAGATCTGCTGCCAGTGGTTGGTTAAGAACGAGCACAAGCTCGCATGTGAGAGGGGAGTGGAAGACCCTCCTCCCGGCAGAGGCAGACGGCCTGTGCGACGGCCCGTGACCGCCTGTGACGGCCTGTCGGCCTGTGTAGCCCGTTAGTCTTGTCGAGCCTGCAGCGGCTGATCCCCGCCTCGTGGCCTCTCGGACTGTTCGTCGGTTCGGTTCCCCCTCCCTCTACCTCCCTCTCGCCCACGTGCACCCACCACGGTGAGGTACGGCACAGACAGGGAGTGTAGGTCAGGAGGGGCAGCTCAGTCCTGGGATGGATGGTGGGGCTGGCCGTGAGAGGGAAGCGTCACATGGGCGTGAGAGGCGCGTTGAAAGTCAGCGGGGAGGCAGGATGGGGTGCTGGACAGAGAGGGCGGGCGACGTCAGGGAGAGAGGGTCCATTTCGATGGATGGATCTGCCAGTGGGTGTCCACTGCGTGTTGTCTGGTGTCTCTGCGTATGTGATGGTCGGGTTGTCTGCCTGTGTGTGCTTCAGGTCCCTCTTCGATTCCCTGCGACACACAAGGCATCAGTAAGTAGGCGGCCTATCCCTTTGCGGCCTCTCTCTGATGTTTCGTCTGTGCGGGCCGCTTCAGATGTTCTCCGGCGCGGCCTTCCTTCCCGGCATGGCGCACACACGGGCATTCGCTGCCTACTACTCGACGGGTGAGAGGGAGGGAGCACATGCACACACGTGGGGATCTGCACACACGTGTGTGTTGTGTGTTTTGTGTGTGTGTGTGTGTGTGTCTGTGTGTTGTGTGTTGTGTGCAGCGGCTTCTAAGACGGACCCCTGCCATGCGGCAAGCACGGACGACGGCGATCTGGACACCCTACTGGCGACGGATGGTACGCACATGACATGGAAGGGGCGTGGTGGATCGATGAGGCGTATGTGCGGTTGTCACTATCTGCTGTCGGGATGTACGCATGCAGTGGCCCATGTCGTAGCCGAGTTCAAGAAATTCACAACAGGCGGCCCATTCCGCTGGTTCCTGGGCTTCATACTCCGACTTCACGGCATCACAGAAGGTGTGTACGGAAGATAGACACACACACGGACATAGACAAACACATGTGTGTACGAAACGGGGCCTTGTGCATCTGCTGTCGGAATGTGTGCAGCGGTGCTCGTGTCCGCCATGGCTGCTCACATCGATGAGCAGCAGCAGCAGCCACAGCAGCCCCCCAAGCAGGAGCTGACGACGACACCGCCCGAGGTGCGCGTGCCGCCGGCGAGGTCACCCGAGCCCAGCCCGGCTGCGTCGTCTGAGACGATGTCGGAGGGAAGGTCGATGCAGCTGCTGCAGAAGGGCAGCGGCCAGAGCGCCAACGCGGCCTCGGCCTCCAACGCCCCCACCCCGCCTGTGGACGTGAAAGCCCCCGTGGATCAATTTGACGAGGTGAGTGAGAGGAGCGGATGGATGGATGGATGGGAGGGAGGGAGGATGGTGGGCATGTCAGTCCGTCTCATGTCGTGTGTGGTATCTTGTGCCTGTCTGGGTATTGTCAGGTCGACGTGTTTGGGGGTGTGTGCTCAACTCGTGCGCGTGTGGCGGTCACTGGGGGCACCTCGAGCACTGGGCCTGTCGGCGGGCGCGGCCGGAGAATAGGGCGAGACCGCGGACGGGGAGGTGGTGATGCTGATGGTGGGAACGGTGTTGTGGAGGCCGCCCTGGCCCGCGAGTGCGCCCGCTCTGAAGGTAACACCATGCGATCGGTGCCACCCCAGCAGCGCGCGTCTGCTAGTACTCAAGGTGAGCAGGCTTTTGACCGAACGACCTGACCTGCACATCCATCCATCCATGTGTGCATGTGATGTGTCTTCCTTGCTGCACTGCAGGTCGCTCTGTCGGGTCGTCGGTATCCCCCGCAAACAACCACAGCAACAACAAGTCGCGGCGCCCATCATCGTGGATAGTTCCCCCCGCCGACGATGGAGCCACAAACCGACCTGCTGCCAGCCCACCGGCTGCACCATCCCAGGACGGTACCGACACAGAACCGACCCCCACAGAGGCTGCTGACACCCAGCCCCCACCCGTGCCCGAGGCTGTCGACGCCACTGCGGCTGAGTCGTGTGCCCCCCGGGAGGAGTCGGCTGCCGAGACGGGGGGAAACCAGCAGGAGGGAGAGGGCGAGGGAGAGCGTGAGGGAGAGGCTGGAGTGGGCGAGAATGACGAGGGCGGCGAATCCCCCGCTGCCCCTGCCGCTGCGGCAGCTGCCACTTCGACGCTGTCCAAGTCGGCGAGGCGCCGGGCCAAGAAGAAAGCCCGCAAGGCGGCCGAAGCGGCAGCTGGACAGCAAGAGACCCCAGCCCCCGGAGACGCTGGCGACGCTGACGACGCCCCTGCACCAGCAGCTGCAGCAGCCGCACCAGCGCCAGCAGAAGTCGCTGCTGCCGACCAGGCCCGCGAGCCCGCTGCTTCCCTCGAGGGCGAGGTCGAGGCCCAGGCTGCCCCTGAGCCGGTCGTCGAGAAGGAGGAGGCGTCGCCCCGTGTCGAGGAGACCGGTATGAACGGGGGCACCGAGGAGTCCAAGGAGGATGGCCCAGGCGGCGAGGGCAAGATTACTGAGGGTGATGGTGCGGCTGCTACCGACGGCACCAAGGAGGGAGGCGAGGAGACTGACGAGAAGGCCGAGGAGGACGTGCAGGGCAGCCAGCAAGAGGGGGGCGCGGGCAAGAAGAAGAAGCGGAAGAACAAGAAGAAGAGGAAGACCAAGCCCAGCTCAGAATCGCCCACCAACGACGGTGCCTCCCCCTCCCCCGCCCCTGCCCAGGACGAGGCCTCGCCTGCTCCCCCACCCGCACCTGCTACCGAGGCCGAGGCCGAGCCGGCCGCCGAGGAGGCCAACCCGCCAGTGGACGTGCCGACGTCTAACACGGCTGCTGCTGCTGAGGACGCTGCACCAGCAGAGGTCTCTCCGGCGCCACTGGTGGCAGAGGGCAAGGAGGAGGAGGCCAAGCCTGAGGAGAGGCCCGCGGCGTCCGATGACTGGTGGGTTGTGGTGACCCGGGGCAAGAAGGGCAAGAAGGCCGCCAGCTCCTACGACAAGAAGACTTCATCTCACGAGGACAAGTCGGGCCCGTCGGAGTCCTCACCGAAGCCTCTCAGTGCTGCCCCGCCACCCTCAGCCGCATCCGTCCCATCTGCGCCGGCCAGTGAGGCGTCACCCAAGGCCAGCAAAGCGCGACGGCCCCAGAAGACCGCCGACGGCAAGGAGACCACTGAGGCGGTCTACCAGTACAACAACAGACAAAAGAACCACCCGGCACACATCCAGGAGCACAAGCACAGCCCGGCGCTGCAGCTCAAGGCCCTCGAGGCCCACCGCACCAAGTACGAGGAGAGCCAGCAGCTCGAGTTCGAGGTGCCCGAGAGCATGGTCGGTTTGCACATCGGCAAAGACGGACAGCACATCAAGCAGATCGAAAGCGACTTCAAGGTGGGTGGGTGGGTGGGCGAGATCGGTCGGTTCTATCACACACATGCACACACACATATTGTCGCTGTTGTCAGGTTGACATTCGCGTGTTGAACTCGGTTGACGGCATGGCGAAGGTCAGGATATTCGGCCGCTCCCAAGACACCCTGGGGCGCGCCAGAGCGGCTTTTGAGTTCGTGAGCGAGCACGTGACCCTCACCAAGGATGACTTCATGTGGATCAACCCGCACCGCCCGCGAGACGATGACGGCTCGCCTCCCTACGGTGCTGCTGGTGGTGAAGATGGTGGTGGTGGCGAGAGGCCGTCCAGGCGTATGCACTACCACAACAAGGGGCGGCTGTCTGAGAGGGAGGTGGCCCAGACGTCCGGCATCTTCAAAATGACGTACGTACGGCTGCAAAGGAGGGAGGGACGGGTTTAGACGGGGCAAGGTGGATCCATGGGCTTGTGGACTTTGTGGCGTCTGTTGTGTGGTGTGGGTGGTGTGGGTGTAGGTACCACCCCGACCGGTGCAGCTACGAGTTGTGTGGGAAGCGGGCCAACGTATCGCTCGCAAAGGAGATAATTGACACCCACCTCCAGTACAAAGAGGTGAGCACAAGAAACACTGAGGGAGGGAGGGATCGAATCATCCATCCATCCATTGTCTGCCTCTCTGTCGGCCATCCATCCATGCAATCCATCCAGGTGTACGCTGACATGGAGGGGGACCTCCTCGAGCTCGACGAAGAGATGGAGCAGGTATGGTGTGCACAGGCACTGACTGGTGACATGACATGCACTGCACCCCACCAACACGCAGACAGACAGCAGACAGACAGACAGTGTCTGCATTGGACATGCGTGTCGCCTGTCCTGTCAGGTGAACCGTAAGTACGGTCTGACGGGCAAGCCGCCCCAGCGCCGCACCCCTTTCCCCCGCGACCACCACCGCCTGCGCCCCATCTTCCCCAACGGCGCTGCCCCCGCCCCCGCCCAAGACGACAGCTCCCCCGCCCCTGCCCAAGACGAGGCCTCGCCTGCTCCGCCACCCGCACCTGCTACCGAGGCCGAGGCCGAGTCGGCCGCCGAGGAGGCCAAGCCGTCGGTGGATGTGCCGACGCCCTGACGGGCTAGAAGAGTCGGCTCTTGTCCGGCTGGTGTGCATGTTATGTATACTCGGCTCTTGTCCGGCTGTTTTTTAAGTGTACCCCCTGGTTGCTTACTTTCTTGGTTGGCTGTCTGCTCTCTCTCTTGCTGTCTGTCTGTCTGTCTGTCTTTCTGTCTCCCTGTCTGTCTGTCTGTCTGTCTGTCGCCTCTTCGTCTGTGTGTGTGTGTGAGTGTGTGTGTGGGTGTGAGTGGATGTTTGTGTGCGTGGGGGGAAGGGGAGAGGGGGTCATAGGGGCATGGGGACACGACGATTTTTTTTGTGTAGTGTGGGACACAGGACCGACTGATCGAGTTTGAAGGCTTGCCAGCCCCTTGCGTGTCCCCGTCCATCCGTCAGTTATGCTGCATCGCACATCGCACTGACTTGTTTAGGTATGTATGTCCAATGTAGCATCATTGCAGTTAGGCCAGCCAGTGCACTTACCCGCAGAGCAGGTGCATGTGTGCTTGTGGACCGGTGACACAGTGACCTGCAGACAGAAGGACAGACAGACAGACAGATGTGTGTGTGTGTGTGTGTGTGTGAGTGTGTGTACCTGAGTGGCTGGCAGTGAGAGTAGGTCAGGCCAGGTCTTTGTCGGACTGACTGCCAGGCGGCCGCGCCGTACGTACGCACTGCGCCCATATGTATTCGTTACATTTAGATAGTCAGGCGACTTGACTGCCACATCGGTATCAATCAGTCAAAGGGATTTGGTTTGTCCGCTGACCTGTGCTTCATGGGCGCGAGTGACCGACCGACACTGACCGACCGAACGCTCTGAGTAGTGAGAGTGATACCTACCTGTCTGTGTGCGCTTGCTTGCACACGTGCTGCTGTCGAGCCGAGGAGGATCAGCAGAGGGGAGGGAAGCTGAAGGTGTGAGTGCGATGGATGGATGCATGAATTGATGAGACAGATGGCTGGGTGAGTAGTCAATGGATCGATCGATGGAACGATCATATATGTGCCCACGTGTGTATTGCTTGTGTGCGTAGTGGTTGGTAAGTAAAGCCCTCGGATCGGGCGGATGACTTTCACAGGTCATTGATTTGATTTGACTGACGGCACCACATCATGTCATGTGATGCCATGCGCGCCTTGCCTTCCTCTCGATCGTCTGTGTGAACCAACCAACCGTTGTAAAAACCAAACACACAAATTGAAGCGCGGACGAAAAAACGCTCAGACACACAGCTTTGCATCGCATGCACCTTGCGTATATGTATATGAGTACACACTGACATACATACATATGCAATGCAGCTTGCTGGTCTTCCATCCCGCATTGACTGACACGGATATATGCCACTCATTCATCCACTCACGGTTTGGTGCCGCTGCCTTTCCTAAAGAGTCCGAACAGCCCGCCGCCCCTCTTGGCTGCATCTGGGTCCTCCTTGTTGTCTTCCATGAGCATGTCGGGCGTGAAGGCTGGCTCGGGATCGACGAACTTCTCCGGCCCCCTGACAAAGGCACCGTGGACGGGTACCAGCGACGAGAAGCGCGGGGCGGTCGCGAAATACACATTGTTGTTGTCGTTCTCATACCTGCAGACGGACAGACAAGGAGGGGGATGGATAGCCATGCATTCACACAAACGTTTGAGAGGTGATGGGTTGCCAGCCACCATGGTGTGTCGGTGGGCGCCGTGTTGTTGCTTACTCGTTGCACACGGCCGTGACCTCCGCCACCTCTCTATTGACGGCAAGGCAGGCAGACAAATCGGTAGACAAATGGCAGCGTCTTGTTTGCCTGTCTGCCGGGTGTGTGCGTGTCTGTGTGTGCGTGTGTGTGTTTGTGAGTGTACCTGTCCACGATGTTCCGCAGGTGCGGCAGCGGTGCAGCAGCAAGGCCTTGACGCACTGACATCCGCACGCAGCCGGCCAGAAGGAATGTGTTATCGTTCCCTGGGAGGCATTTGGCGACTCCTTCCTTACGTTTGGCAACATAAGCGCTGGCCTGCTTGACGTACGTCACAGCCACGCCCTGCACACATACACATACACACACGCAGAGCCAGACACGCAAATCATGGGCTTGGGCGTATACGCTGCGTCCCTTCCGCTCCGCTCTTTGCTGACTGACGTACGTAAGCTTCCTTCTCCCACTCGGCCATGGCGATGTGTTTCCAGCCTATGGCCCGGTAGAGCGACGAGCACCCCTGCAGATGGATGACCAACCCTCCACAGATACCCTCAGGCACACCTAATGAATGGACGGACATACAAACCAACCAACCAACCGCACACAGGACATGCAAAGATGCAGACAGACAGCGGCCGGCTATGCTATAGGGCGGTGTGATGTGGTGTGATGTGGTGTGGTGTGGTGTGAGCAACTTACTTCTGAGTGCTGCGAGTGTCTTGTCCGAAAGGTCTCCCACACAGAGGGCGATTTTGCCTAGCAAGGTGTGGTTGACGCTGCCCTTGCGCCGCGCGTGCTCGTAGCTCAGCTGCTGCGTGCACATCTGGGCATACGCCATCATCCTGCATAGCATAGACACACACATACAGCACAGCATAGCACAGCCAGGAATGAATGAATGAACCCATCGGTGGCACCCATATATCACACTTGCCGTGCAGAACGACACACATACACTCACTACACGTGGAGAGGAATGAGTGGAAGCTGACTGTGGTGGTAACGTACCCATGAAGGACTTTCGGGTAGACCTCAGGGCACTGCACCAGCTCTATCTGATCCAGCAGCGACTCCTGTAGGGTAGGCACAGCACAGCACAGCACACACCAGCCATCCGGGGGACACATAACATACACGCAACCACACCCACACCCACACACAGAATCAATGAATGAATGAATGGATGCTGTCTGTGTCAGTCGAGGTGCGGTGAGGTGCATCAGGTCAGGTGTCTGTCGCGTCCGTCCGTCAAGTGCTGCATGTAGTGCACTACCTACCGGTGTGGTCTCCTGTGCGTGCTGGAAGAGGCCGGCACTCTTGGCACAAAAAGACACCGCAGACTGATCAGATCGATGAGATGGATGGCCACACACAACACACACACATGTATACACATGCAGAAAGCTCCTCGATCCCTTCCTTTGTATGTGGAATGAGTGAGGTGTGAGGTGTGAGGTGTGCGTCCGTCGTGCCTACCGTGATGGCTCCCTCCGGGATGTCCTCCATCTGTGCTTCAGCCAGCCCCCTCTGTGCCTGCACGATCTGGGCAGCAGCCAAAGTGCACAGCACCATCGTCAGCTCGTACGACAACGCCTGACGGACGCTGCACCAACCAACAGCCACATACACGCACACACACACACACGTCACTCACAGGTGAACAAGGCGGCTGGTGAGTGCCTGGCTGTCTGGCCGACCTCTGGAACTGTTTGAAGACTGGCTGTGCCGGCGTGTTCAGGAACGACCGCCACTGACCGACACACACAAACACACACGCATCACCGCCGCGTACCACTCAATGATGTGGATTCATGCATGGTCGTTAGTTTGCCCCCTGTGCATCTTACTTACAGACACGCGGAGGTTCTTGACGCCTCGCGAGGAGGCGGCGGCCTTGGGCACAATGGGTGCATCAATCGCCTGGATGACCGCCAGCAAATGCGGCAGGTAGGCCGCGCCCTCGTCCAGGACGCGCAGGGCCCCCGGCTGGCCGAGGTTGACAGCCTGAACGAACACATCTCTGCTCTTGCTGGCCTCGGACAGCCGGAAGACGTTCTTGAGATCAAAGAGATCTTCGAAGGCGAAGCGGCCGCAGCACTTGGGGAAGTCCAGCGGATACAGAATCCACATTTCAGTCTGCACACAAGCTAGTGGGCGCCTAGAGCTGTCGGTGTCAGTAAGGAGGCAGATCCGATGGTCGCCTCAAGTTCTGCCTCGAGAGCTGTTTCACGGAATGCTGTGCGAGCTCAGGGAGGCGATAGAGGAAAGATGGTGTAGGAGAATGGATGGAGAAGACCAGCGGGGCGCGCTCTCCCTGCCGATCCCAAGGGCGGGAGAGGGGCAGACGTCCGCGGCTCTCTTCTTAGAACACGACAACACCACGACACCCTCGACTGCCACCTGGTCTGCAGCCGAGGCCCTGTTCGGCATCCCTCAGCATCAGGCCTATGCATTTGCATCGTCGGCGGCACCGGCTGGTGCATCGGGCGGCGCATCGGGTGGCGCACCGGCTGGTGCATCGGGTGGCGCATCGGGCGGTGCATCGGCTGCGGCAGCAGTGCCATCCCTGTATATTCCCCCGGCTGGCACGGATGCTGCCCGTGCGCTGCTGCTCAGCCTCGGCTCCACGACCAGGAAGCGGCCGTCAGAGAGCGCTGAGCGTGTGAAGTTCGAGGGCCGCGGTCGCCACCGCAACCACTATCAACGGAAGCGGGAGGCTTCGCAGATCATGGGGACGGGACAGCCGGGTGGTGACGCAGGGGAGGGCGCCGGTCAGGTCGGCAAATGGGGAGAGGCGGAGGCCTGGGCGACGATAGAGGCGGGAGAAGGAGCACAGGGGCATGGCGACGGAGATGGGCATAGCAAGACCACACCCACTGCTGCGGCGGCCTCAGCGAAGAAGAAGGGCCGGGCTGCGAAGAAGACGGCCACCGGGTCGGCTCAGCGATCTGTGCGCTCATCACGGGGCAGCAAAGGCCGCGGCCGCGGGCCCGCAATGGACTACTCGGTGGAGATCGACGCGCTGTTCGCCAGTTACAAGACGGGTGGTGCGGATGGCGGGAGAGGCCAGTCCCTGCAGGGAGCGCCATAGAATGGATCGACATCAGCGGCTAGCGATAGCGGGACTGCCTTCTGAGGGTGGGTGTACATATGTCAGTCTGGCTGTCACTGCCTCACTGCGTCAGAAGCTATCGCACTGTGCATATAGAGAGAGACTCGTCTGAGTGTGGTGGGTGGGGTGGGACGGGTGGGGT